CTTTGAAGCTGAAATCGCGTTCGGTGTGAACGCACCATAAGAGGTTTTTATTTAAATGAATTTTTGGACAAAAAAATCGCAATATATCATCTTGCTTACAGTATCGCAATTTATGGGGATATATCGTATCGTGACCCCTCTGTCATGATATGTATCGTATCGCCAAATTCTTGCCAATACACAGCCCTAATCCACTCCTCGGTCGCTAAACTTCAGCAGAAATATGAGCGTTCCTGCCCCCGAACATAAAACTTCTTCATGAAACAAAGAAAACCAGGTTCCTGACAGACACACACTGAGGTCAGCAGGTGAAACTCGTTTTTCCATTTTCTCTCTGCTGGACGTGTTTGAAACCAGCAGGACAACCTGCAGGAGCTCCTCCTTCACTTTTTATTTAAATCAACCAGAAATACTTTTAACAAAAATTAATTACATTTAAACATCTGTCCAGGTAAAATGCTGCCTTATCTAACATCTTATCTGCTTGATCAAACTGAGTCAGTTCAGCACACGGATCATCAGATTCTTCTTAAGAAGAATTTAAATTTGTGAGTTTGTCCAGAAGCAGAATTTAGATAAAATGTTTTATTATCTGGTTCTGAAGTTAAGGTGGACCTCAGGGTTTAAAAACAACACAGCAACATTTCTGATCACAGCAGGACAATCATCAGTAGGAAACTCTTTTCAGATGATTTTTCTTTTACAAAAATCCTTTAACCTGGAATCTTCCCAAACATATATTWCCCAATAAATCAGTTTATTTAAACCGAACCAGCTCCAGTTTATGTCTTCAGATGTGTAAAGTTAATAAAGAGCTTCAGAGAAATATAAAAACCTCCCTGTCTTCAGCAGAAGTTAGTTTTTTGCGGACTTCCTGTTGTCAGAAGTGAGTTTACAGCAGCTTAGCTTAGCATGGAGCTAACTAGCCGTTAGCATGAAGCACCTGTGCTCACCGATAATCATCGTCTCATCCGGGATTTCCTCTATGAAACATTTCTTCTCGGTCTCCCCGATGTGGAAGTACAGCGTGGACACGGAGCTGAGCAAAACATTCAGCAAGAAAAGTGAAAACACGACCGACTGCTGCATCCTGAGCCTCACCGACACCGTCTTCCTGCCAGCACACTCACCAGACTGCGCATGCGCACCAACCGCAGTGCCACGTAAACCCTGGTGCAGCTCCGGCCAATCAGAGCGCGGAGACGGCATGCTGGGTTTTGTAGTTTTTTTAATGCTTTGTGTGTTCCGGTGGAGGCAGCGGGAGGCCGTGTTAGGGCC